AGAGAGAGAGAGAGAGAGAGAGAGAGAGAGTTAAAAAGAGAGGAGGTAGGGAGACCTTTCTTTTCTAAAAGAACACTCAGGAGAGAAACCGAGATCAGAACATTCTGAGCTACAAAAATGTACCGATACTTGGAGAGGAAGGTAAATATTTTTACTTTTAAGTAATTGTCTCAATTGTAATGTTTTACACCCCTAATGGCGCAAAATAACTTATTTAGGGAGCTGAATTTCTAGATCCGGTTCGTCATGAAGAAACGAGGCTAAGCAGGATACAGTATCTCAGCAGATTGAAAGGTAAAGACACTTTATCACCACCTTTCACTGCAACCGAGGGAATTGAACTTATGGCTTCTACATACAACAGCAAACCCTCTAACCACCACACCATAGACTCTTGTTCATTGGAACTGAACCATTCTTTTATATAGATATCTATGATATACCCAGAGAAAGGTTAGAACAAATAAATATGTTCTTGGTTTCAAATGGCGGGGCATGCTTGAGGGTTTTCTATGTTGCTGTTGTTTTTTGTTTTTTTACTTGAACAATCTGTTTTGTATCAAACTTACTGCAAACATATATCTATTATGACTGTGCGTGTCTGTGAAGGCTTGGCCCACACAGAACAATTGTGTTTGCTTGTCTCTTGCGGGAATATTGATGAGGGGAACAGGAAGTGACATACTGAACCGGAACTGTCAGCACGGAGAGGCAAATGCACGCGGAAAGTTCAGAAAGTAGGGGCACATTTTGATGACGTCAATTTCCGACCTCATGTGCTCTCAATATTTCGTCTTTCATAACTTGTTCATAGTTTGTTGACGCAAAGAATGACAACTGGAAGTTTTGTGCCATTGATAAAGATAGACAGACATATAGATTGATAGATCTCTATGTTGGGGATGGCGGTGCTGTTAAAGTGATGCAATGATGTTGAAGAGATTGTGATGATGTTTGAGATAAAGGGGCAATGATGGACCGGAGGTGATGATGTTTGAGAGACTGTGATGATGTTGAAGAGATGGTGATAATGTTGGAGAGATGGTGATAATGTTAGAGAGATTATAATGATGTTGGAGTGATGGGGATGATCTTTTCAGGATGAAAAAGATGCTGGGGAACTGTTAATGATCTTGAAGGGACATTGACTTATCTGTGAGAGTCTCATCGACGTTTAAAACGACAATGTTGGAAAGATAACATTTAAGATTGAGGTGATCTTGTAGAGATTGTGATGATGTTGGGCAGATTGTAATGATGGTGTAGTGATTGAACCGCTGTTGGAGAGATACCGATAATGTCTGGATCATCGTGGGGATGTTTGGTTGATGGCAAAAATGTCGTGGGGCTCCTTTAGACCAGTGACATACCCCTGAGCGTCCCGTCCCCTCCTATAGCTATGATGTTAGAGATCCCGGCCTTCAGAAGGTTATGGACGGCCTTGAGGCGGGACTCTCGCTCTGTGAAGCTGGGACATTTGTAGCTGGGCATGGGAGTCAGGGGAAACGTTAGGATGGCCACGCGGATTTGGTAGAGGTGGGGTGGGTGGAAAGGAGGGGGAGATGGGTTATAGATGTTGAAAACTCTGCTGAAACATTTCTTCTTTTACCATATTATCATGTTTCTTTTTCCTGACTATGATGTTGATTTTGCTGATAGTATTATAATTATTTCAGTCATATTATTATCCCTGCAGCATGAATTATTACTAATACAGTTATTGATAATACTGTTGCAGAAAATAATGAATCGCACCTGAAGCCGTCTCCACTGACCTCTTGAGAATGGTGCCCCCGTGGCCAATGACGTCACTGGTGCTGATCCAGGTGGCCTCCACAATGTTCTCACCCCCGTCCACCATGCCCTTAAAGCCCTGCTTGATGTAGTAGACATCACAGCCTAGGTACATGGCCAGACGTACCACGGCGCGGATACACGCGTTCATGCCCTGACAAGATATAGGCAAGTGTTCAAGATCGATTGGTTGATTGATTGGTTTGCTGGTTGATTGATTGATCGATTGATTATTAAATTATTTATTTATAGATGATTTGCCGAATGAGATTGGGGTGGAGATAACTTTTTTAAAGAAGGAAAAACGAGTGAGAGGGCATTTTCATAGGGGAGGAAAGGATAACACTTTCTTTCAAAGAAACAATAGCATAACAGCAACAGCGTCCTCATCATCATCATCATCATCATCATCATCATCACCATCATCAGCATCATCATCATCATCATCATCATCATCATCAGCAGCAGCAGCAGCAGCAGCAGCAACAGTA